CCCCCCCCCCCCCCCTTCAGAAATTCTCATCCACAGGGTGTGTGGACATTAAATGGAATGGCCCCATGTTCGAAGCGTTTTAATCGTCTTTCTGGTAGTTCAGACACTAATTATGGTGGCTTATTGTAGAATACTACCTGCCCTGGATCTCCATGTTTGAAATGTATAAAAGTTAAATATTAACTATTTTTGCAATTTTCTGTGAAGTATTGAGCATGTTTATCAGTCTTTGTTCGAGCATTAATAATGTGTACAAGTGTACAGATAACTTACCTGCGTTCCACATCAAGATGAATAGTTTGCTTCTCCTGGATAAAATTTGTGTGTGAATGAGTAGGGCTTGTAATGCCACTGTCTAGGATTGATTCTGTATGATGAATATCCTGTCAAAAAGCAGAAGAAATTAAGTGACCCCCTGCCTAGCCTGAGTCATAAACGAATAACAAGTATTTTTCGTTATTTGTCTATGACTCTGGCTACCCCCTGCCTACCCTATCACATACTTTTTAATGTCTATTTTTGTCTCAGTTTCTACCTCTTTGCGGAACAAGTCTGCAAAGTGGATACAGGAGTGCCCCCATCCCTTTGTGGACCGCAGTACTTGACAGGTATTTTACCAGCACTTAATTCATGATTCTTTTCACTGTTAATATGCCTGGGAATGCTTTGAGAAACCCCCACATCAAAAATGTTGAGGATGATATGATGTACATCTGATATAGCATATTTAATCAGAATTATATGTGATAATTTCATTACCTCTAAATAACCTTGAAATTGTTCCTCTCTAATTTCTAAGTTTTCCTGTGAAAATTGCAAAGAAAGTAGTTGCATGAAACAGATATTAATTATCACTAATTAGAGATGAAACAGATATTAATTACCACTAATTAGAGAGGAAACAGATATTAATTTTATTGGTTAGAGATGAAACAGATATTAATTACCACTAATTAGAGATGAAACAGATATTAATTACCACTAATTAGATATAAACAGATATTAATTACCACTAATTAGAGATGAAACAGATATTAATTTTACTAATTAGAGATGAAACAGATATTAATTACCACTAATTAGAGATAAAATAGATATTAATTATTACTAATTAGTTATTAAATAGGTATTAATTACCACTAATTAGATATGAAACCGATATTAATTACCAGTAATTAGAGATGAAAGAGATATTAATTACCACTAATTAGAGATGTAACAGATATTAATTATCACTAATTAGAGATGAAACAGATATTAATTACCACTAATTAGAGATGAAACAGATATTAATTACCACTAATTAGGGATGAAACAGATATTAATTACCACTAATTAGAGATGAAACAGGTAATAATTACTACTGATTAGAGATGAAAACGGATTAATTACCACTAATTAAAGATGAAACAGGTATTAATTAGTGCTGATTAGAGATGAAAATGGATTAATCACTACTAATTAGAGATGAATTATTACCAGTACAGGCATTCTTTTAAATCTTCAATACCTGACTCAAAGACAAGTCACAATGTGAGTCGTCATGATCATTGCTTTCTATCCCAGAGTCATGTTCCATTTCCTGTCCACCCCTCATCCTCTGATTACTTGAGTCAAACGTGAGTCCAATATCCTTCAAACTTTCAACATCTTTATTAAACTCATTCTGCCACTCAAGTTCTTTGAGTTTGGGTGGAGAGGTGCCTTCCAGATTGTGCGATGGTGTAGAGGAATAGTCGTATCTAACTTCATCTGTTGTGACTGACGATCTGAGGAGACTTGATCTCTCACTCACTGAAAGATAAGACAGAATTTATCATTATCGAGTTTCATGTCCTTGTTACTTGACACACCTGCAATTTACTACAACTAATACACTGTTGAGGTATGTTTTAACAGCGGTATTGAACTCCGGGACTTACATGTGCGCCGACGAGGACCTCTTGACCTGAAAGTAGAAGACATTAAAATAAGACAAACAATGCATCACTGGAATTCAGAAAGTTTGTAACATGCATTATTTAAACTTGTTGTCTTATCTTACCATGTAGATGCAATATATAATGCAGCTATGACGAGAACGACCAACACTGGAATACAGATCCACATTGCTGCCATTTCCTTGGAGTAACGTTCATCTTTGGCTGAAGCCTGGGTGGAATGGAGTGGTTCATCACATTCAATATGTGTAAGTATACACATTATACTACTGTATGTATAAGTATGACATTAGTTCAAATTATAACAGGGGACAGATCAATTTTACTGCCACTAAATTTCGGTCGAAACTCTAAACTGCGAGCGTAATAACTAAATACTAAATGATGTGATTTGTCGTGTACCTGCATTGAACCAGAGTCTAGTACATTCATAAGCACAGCAAAGTTAGCGAGATGATCACAGCGACATATTGTACGTTCCTTCGTACTTGACTCTAACCAACAACCCTCAGTTGACCACGCGCCTCCGTGAACAGGGCTAGATTGTAGTAAAATGGATTTTTGAAGATTTGCTAAATAATGTTAAACTAATGTCATGATTTGTTACAAGAAATATTTGAAATCCAATAATGACATGAGAAATCTGAACAGTTCGGCCCAATCTGAGCTGAATTGGAGTTGTGGTTTTTTGAAAAGACTGCTCACTCTTCCAGTTAGGACGTGATGCCCAGGTGTTCGTGACACAATAATTACGGGAACAACTTAGTATTTTAAGAAAATACAAAATAACAGTAACTCTGAATAACATTTTGATTTTTAATCGACGTTTCGACTAGTTTGTAGTCATCCTCAGGATTAACAATCTCGAGGATGACTACAAACTAGTCGAAACGTCGATTAAAAATCAAAATGTTATTCGGAGTGACACAATGGTTGGTGCCTTTCGCGTCTCTGCGAAGGAGGTTTCGATTCTAGCAATATGCAGTTGTCTTGTTATAATTTCACCTCAATCTACATGAAGAGTACTTCCAGTTGATTTCTTATTGATTCAGTGTTGGTTTAGTTTTGTCAGATCCTGGTACAATAGAGGCGTTAAACACTCTTTGAGGCGTCCTCTCTCTTCAAACAAAGAGTACGCGCTTTCCAATTTTTAAGTAAAATCACTCACTTTAAGTTGAAGTCCCAGAACACGCATTTTGGGTTTAGTCTGTTTTGCTGTAAGAAAACATTGGCAATTTACTCTGACTCTATCTTTTCATAACTTTTGATAATTTGTTCTGTGTGATAGTTTGTTCAGATATCACATAAGTCACCCACCTTCAGATGATGTAATGTGATTGTGATTGCGGGTGTAATTTTATCCTGGATTCGAGGCTCGGCAATAGTTGCGAGGATTTTGGAATTTGGTTCAGAATGCCTAGAATGCAGGAAAAAAGCATTGTCAGTTTAATTAATGCAGTTTATATAGCATGAACGCACTATTTCAATGTTTAGGTGATGATTGGTGTTATATAATTCATTTCTTTTGTTTCCTCTACTTATTCTGTCATACCTGAAATGTTGGTTGGAATCCATTGGTAAAAGTGCTGGTAAGGTTTTGTAGCTGAATGTCACAGTCTTTATATTTCCTGAAAAGAAGGAAAACGTTGGTTTGACCAGGTCTTCATTTTATTATGAATTTATTATGAAAAGATTAATAAGCCATCTTTAAAATTAATCAGGCATCTTTCTGGACTTTTTGGGAACTTAGAACTTTTTGGTATTCAGGTTTAAACTCACCTATACTAAATACTGACTTCGGCAACCTGATATTGTCTTTCTCTCCGTCCCACAACGCCACATCTGTGTTGGTGTAGTCTGGGAATATTTTGTCGTTTGATCCTTTCTCTTGATAGCTCATTTGTACAACTAGGTGAAAACCAAATATCAGTGAATAAGATTTAATATATTCTTGTGGGGTGATGGTAACACAGTGGTTATAGTGCATGTATTTTTCTGTCTGTACTGAGGTTCAATCCCTGTAATATGCAGTTGTCTGATTATAATCTTAAACTGTCTTTGCCAGTGTAGGTAGTGCGAATCAAATGAACAAGCTTTCGTTGGGAGGGATGCAACTACCTGAAAAATATAAGGAGAATTTCGACGTTTCGAGCGAAGGCTTTTGGTCTGAAGTTACTAGCCAGACGAAGGGCCTTCGCTCGAGGCATCGAAATTCTCCTTATATATTTTTTAGGTAGTTGCATTCCTGCCAACGAAAGCTTGTTCAGTTGTCTGATTATAATTTCCACCAGCCACATGCGAGAAGAGCCAGTTGGCGTCCTGAACTGTTCCCCCATTGGACCTCTAGAGAGAACCGTTAGAAGTTGTAGATATACCCAGTATAAATAAAGTTGTTTTATTTTTAGTTCGGCTAAGCTCACATAAATATACCTATGTTGTTCGTAACATAAGTAAGATTGGTTCGTGTTTCTGGAAGTTTTGACGATGCAATTAATGCATAGGTCTGTGAATCTCGTAGAATATCAGCTGATCCTCTCGCATCCTAAAAACAGAATAGCAATAATGATAAGCAATGTATCTTGACGGTGTTAACATAACTTTTCTTGAGGTAAACCTAATCAATCATCAGTGTTGTGTCATGTCTGTGCAAAGTATTTTATCCAATCTTCCCATACCATCACAATTACTTTAAACATTTACTTACGTTTTGAATATTTCTCCACTCTTGTTTATTGCTGTCGTCCAGAAGGTTACTGCATGTTATCAAATAATTCTAGAAGGCAAAGTTCGAATAACAATTAAATTGGTCATAGCAGATAGTAAGCATGCATGTTGTTTTTTCTGAGGACCTGAGGTTTATAACATGGTGGTATTCTCCTCATTATGAAAAGAATGCGTCATACTTTAACATTTTTCAGGCTAATCCCTCCATCTTGTCTTGCTCCTTGTTCCTGAACAATAGCTGTCATTATCTCAGTGGTTTTCTTTAGATCTCCTCCAAAAATCAACGAATTGTCTATAGTTCTTGTCGTGACTAAAACTAGACTTTGCAGAAGTGAGCTCGAATCCTCTCCGTATACCAGTCGTTTTGCCTGTGGTATAATAAATTTGATGAAATCAGTTACTTTCGTCTCTCTACTTCCTAATTGCTATCAGGGCAGGAAAAAATAATTTTCTTCCTGGGAGTCCAACCTGGAGACAAAAATTTCTTGCAGACCAACGAAGTATTTTGTGCTAAATCTGCATGTGCATAAACATATGGTGTTCTAGCTGACCTGGTTTTAAATTCAAGGAATAATGTCTGTCAACCATATGTTGTTGCGCCCATAGTGGGACATGGATGTTAAGGTTTCCTTCCAATCTTCAATAGCAAGTCTTCATTCAAAGGAATTTCTTGCAGCTGTTCAACATTTCCTGCGAGCAGTGCTCGCCTATTTTTCCACCCCTGATTTCTATCCTGACAAACTATTAGGAGTGTTTGTGGAACAGTGATAAATTGGTACATGTGCTTTCCATCTCTGTGGCTAGGGTTAAATATCTGAAAAATTCCTGGAATAATTTCATCTCAGTCACACGTGAGAAGAGTGCTTCCATGTTTGTTTCAACCAAACACCGCAGGTTTCCTGTAGCAACACAAGTCCATTAAGAAAGAAGGCTCTTACTTGACCTCTCAGTTTAGAACTGATATAGATATCCAGTCCAAGTTAAATCATCAATACAACTATAATTTACAAACCCTCTGATACAATTCTTCATATGCGTTGCTCACACAAGAACTAAAGTCCGGTAGAAGCCAATGTGATTCAATTGAACATTTTCTTTTCGCCAAACCTAAAAACAAATACTTAAATTAACAAAGAAATCGTCGCCTCGAGCAGCAAGCGAATTTGGCACTTTACCCTTGGCTTTCTTTGGGCAAGGTATCTCATCAAACGTCCCAGCGTTTGTCGTTTTCCAGTTAAGTCCCACAGCTTGTTCCTGGCGGCACACGTCTTGTTCTCCAAGAATATCATTGTCAAAATCTAAAATGTAGAATAAGTGAAGTTTGTCTCAGAAGTAGATTAAAATGAAGAAGAGTACAGTGTCACACACGGCAACAATCCAAGCCTTTCAACCCAACTGATTTGGTCCAAATGCAATGCCTATCTGAAAATCGCTTACCCCTTCCTGACAGTAAACTGGTCTGAGCAGATGGTGGGAATGTGTGCTTTTTTCTGTGGGTAAAAACTGAGATTGACATGGCAATGTACCCAAATCAGATGATTCTAACACTCTGATATCCTTCACGACAATGTTCCTTACCAAATATATTCTGTCTCTCTTTTTTCTTCCTTGAAAGAAAGCACAGTTTATGATGCGACGACTTTCCTAATGTCGTCTTAATTTTGCACGATTCCTTGGAATGGCATTTCAAACCAAAACAAACGTTGTCCATCTGCACGGCCACTTCACAACTCTTTATCTCACAACATTTACTGATGCACGAATCCATGAGCTCAGTTCGTCCTAGATTTGTATAGTTTCCAGCGTCTAGGCCATTTTCCAACGTCATTTCCGACATGATTTCTCCTGGGAAACATCCTTTTGGGACGTTTGGATGCAGACGGTCTATAAAATGAGAGTTAGCAACGCCAAAAATTAATCTTATTTCTATTAACTGTGTCTGAAGGTAGCATATTGCACGATCAAAAGTCACTGCGTTGATAACTTGAGTGTTAATACTGGATGGCTCTATCAGTTTTATCTAAGCTGTTTCCTCTAGAGGTCCGCTAAGGGTTATAGCTTATTGCATGGTTCAACGATACTACAAGAAGAACGCTAAATTTAACCAACGTTGCATTGGATAGCTCGATCAGTTCTAAACTGTTCTAGAGCTCCAGGGAGAACAGTTTGCAGGAACACCCTAGAAAACCTGCAGTGTTTAAACACTGGAAGCACTAGACACAGAAGCTAAACGGCGCATAATACTAACGAACAGCCCTGAAACATAGAAAAACAAAATACCTTTTGTTTCACCATGTAAAGATTCAATTTTGTTAATTTTGAATGGATGGTGAATTCTACTTGTCGTCCGTGTTTTTGTCCACTGGTTTGGCTTTCGTGTGAGTTGAGGTGGCAGTGTTGGTCTTCTCAAGATAGGGATTGTTTTTGAAATGTGTTGCACTTGTGAAGAATTCATCTTTCCCGAACTTAATACTAAAATAGAAAAAGACCAAAAGAAATGAATATTTATGACATATTGTATGGAATTTATATTTGTGGTATTATTGGTGCACGTATCACAAATATGACCAATATAGCAAGATTCAAATAAATATCTAGATATTAGAATTTGGAGATATCATTTAATTACCTTTATTTTGCTTCCAATAATTGTTTCTAATTGATGCTGGTTGATCAGGAGCATTTTTGGTTGGTATCTGGGATGTTACGTTGCCTAACGGGTGAACGAACGTACGTGGTCCTGTCAATTGAGAACTTGATGGTTTCCTGGGCGGCTTCATGACATGATTTTGAGTCAGATTCGAAACTCTTTGCTTGTTCTCTGAATAATAAACATGACTTCTTGGTGCAGTTTTATCCAATGTGTTTCTACCAACCTCTGAAGGGGTTTTAATATTTTGATTCCAGAAATCTTTTCTTGTATTTGTCATATCGCCATTTTTGGTTTCTGTTCCCGATGGATGACTACCAACTGGTGGACCTTTTCTTCCGAAGGGACTTTTAAAATTCTGATTCCAGTAATCTCTTCTGTTTGTCCTATCACCATTCTTGGTTAATGGGAATCCCCCCAGTCTATATGGCGGGGCAAGTGTGGGTGTTAGAACAGGAATCCTGTGTACACCGCTCTGGTCTTTACCACCATGATTTAAACCACCATTCCTGTTTAACGATGACCCTCTTTGTCTATATGGTGGGGCGAGTGTAGGCCCTAACACTCGAGGTGTATTCCCCATTCCACCGATTTGATGACCTTTACCACTTTTACTCGTACCATCAAAAGTGAACGGAAATTGTTTGTTTCTATTGACTGGTGCAAGAGTAGGTCTCATACCTCGAAATTTGCCCTCTATTCCTCCATTGGGATAATTGTGAACTCTATTTATTTGTGAATTTTTATTCGCGTTCCTACCTGTGTTTATTGGTGCGATTCTGGGTGTTATTCCTTGACCTCTTCCTTCTGTTCCGCCATTCTGATAACCATGAATAATATTCCCCTGTTGATTACTGTTCGAATTCCATGGCATGCTGTTCCAAGAAAGAGTTGGTTTCATCGTTGGTGTTTGCAAAATGGAATTACTTCCATAAGTATTATAGTACGAATTCCATTTCGCGTTGTTCCACTCATTATCAAAGACGTTCTGTTTATTCCAGTTTTGATAATCGTATTTTCCAATACTACTTACGGTTGGAGTCCCTTTCCAAGTGTGAACACCAGGCTGTGATGTTGGGCGTACACGGTTGATGCTGTTTACTGGTTTCTTTCGTATTCTGGGAAACTTTATGTGATGTTTGATGGGAATAGCTAGTGGTTGGGTTGGTCTAATTGGTTTTCTTTGAGGCTGTTTCAAAAGTGGACCAATTTTTTGTTTCCGTGTTGAATTTATACGATTTTTCTGTTTACTCTTTGGAGGTAAAGAATTCATTTTCGTTCCATGAGGACGTTTTGCATCAAATTCTTCCTTAGACTTCACTTTTGTGGTGGATTTTGAAGTTTTTAACACTTTCTTCTTTCTCGGCACATGTGGAAATTTGCCGACCAGAATTTTATTGTCTCCTACTATACGAGGTTTATATGGTTTCCCTTGATGCTGGGGTAGTGCATTTGTAATATTTTCTGGACTTGTTGGAATAGTTCTTGGTTGTGGAATATTTTCAGGTTTTCTGGGTGAAATATTGTCAATATGAGTTGAAACATTCACTGATGATTCCAGAGGCTTATTTATTAAACGGTGGACAATATTCTTCGCCTTCTTATGAGACGACGTTGTTTTAGCCGGTGCTTCACCAATCAGTTTCAAAATTTCATTTTTCACCTTTTCTTCAGCTGTTTCACTATCCTTCGCCTTATGTGACGCACTTTTAACCTTCGTATCCTTTTGCTTGACTTTTGTTGGTATCACTGTACCACTTGTCTTTGAGAGATTAAATTGTTCACGGATCTTAGTATTGTTGTGAATGACTTGTGAAGATTTTCCTTCCTCATCTTTTGGAATGGTGGATTGTAGTTTATGTTTTTGCACAGGTTTATATACCGTAATGTTTTGTTTATGTTTTTTATGGTTATTGTTTGTGCTAGATAAGATTTTCTTCCTTGAACTCTGTACTTTATTTCCTTTCATGGACCCATTAATATGTAAAGTATTGCTATCTTTTTCCTTCACACGTCCAGTAGTATCACCCAAGTTCTTTCTATACGCATGGCCGACTTTATTGCCAAGCCATGTCTTTGTTCGCTGATTAAAGTACTTCCCGAAATCCGAAGGTTTTGTCTTGTTTTCTAAATTCCATTGCGATGTCAAATTGTGAAAGTAGTCTGTGTTTGTTTTCGGTTGATTTACGGACCAACCTCGTGTCCTTTGATTAAAATATTTCCCGCTCTCATCAACCTGATCACCTTTGAAGCTTTCTTTCCACTCGTTAGTTTCTTGATTAAAAAATCTTGTTTTATCTTCTTCGCTGCCTTCCTCCGTTTCCTTTGGCTTCGTTGCTTCTGTGTAATTTTGATTTGATTTCATGATATCATGTTCATGGTTCACCTCGGGTGAAATCCTCTCCATCTTCTTCTTTTGTCCGTTGTTGCTTTTTATTTCTTTCAATTCATTTAAACTGTGATATAAAAATGGTTTGTGTTGTGGATAACCAGTGTTTGATTTATCTTGCTCATTGTTGTCCACAATATCAATTATTTCACCAGGAACATTTTCCCCAGTATTTTTACGATGGTGCTTGTCATTTTGTTTTTCAATCGCACTTTGAGTATTGTTGGCATTCGTATTGTCGTCGATCCGTGGTGGTGGGTTATTGGTTAGATCCTGGTTCATTTTCGAATGCTCATTCACATTTGTTTTCGTAGAACCATCTTCAGTCGTAACCTTTTGAATAGCTACTTTTTCTTTTCGCTTTTTATGCTTTCCAGTTATTCTCTTTTCCTCACTTTCCAACGGCTCATTTTTCTCTTTATTGTCATAAGTATTATTTCTGATTTCATGTTCGTCCTGTTTTGTTAGTTTCTTGCTGGATCCTGTTTCGTCTTTGTTGAAACCATTTTCAACTTCACTCGGTTCATGAGTGTTTTCAAATTTATTGTCAAGTTTGTTGTGCATAAAGTTTTTGTGTTTGTTCCCAGTAGTGCCATTCTTTTGAATCTCAGAATTCGTACCTTCACTTGCCGTGTTCTTATTCAAATGTTCAGTTGTTTCTTCATGTTTGAAAGGAATGATGGTATTCTCCTTATCATGACTTGTTCTATTATCTTTCGTCATCCCAATTTTATTTCTTGAAATTTCATGCTGCTTTTCCTCAATATTTTCACGATTTTTGTAACCATTTTTCCTTCCAGAGTGTTCCATCCCGTTTTCGTCAGTGGTTTCCGAACTGTTTTCGTCTTTATTTGCTTTCGTATGATGTTTACTGCCAGAAATGCCATTACTTGAAACTTCATGTTTTTCCTCGATGTTTTCATGATTTTTGTAATCATTTTTCCTTCCAGAGTGTTCCATCCCATTTTCGTCAGTGGTTTCCGAACTGTTTTCGTCTTTATTTGCTTTCGTATGATGCTTACTGCCAGAAATGCCATTACTTGAAACTTCATGCTTTTCCTCGATGTTTTCATGATTTTTGTAATCATTTTTCCTTCCAGAGTGTTCCATCCCATTTTCTTCAGTGGTTTCCGAACTGTTTTCGTCTTTATTTGCTTTCGTATGATGCTTACTGCCAGAAATGCCATTACTTGAAATTTCATGCTTTTCCTCGATGTTTTCATGATTTTTGTAATCATTTTTCCTTCCAGAGTGTTGCATCCCGTTTTCTTCAATGGTTTCCGAACTGTTTTCGTCTTTATTTGCCTTTGTATGATGCTTACTGCCAGCATATTTTTTCTCAACGCTTGAAGATGTTCCATGATCAACATGATCTCTTCTGATTCCATCAGCGTCCTCTGTTTTGCTACTTTCATTTTCTTTACGATTTTTATTTGTACTCTCATCCTTCCCTTCATCATTTTCAGAATTACCTTTATCGCGTCCACTGTTCTTGCTCTTGTGATCACCGTAACTCTCCTTACGATCTACATGATCCGAACTAATTTCATCATCTTTCCTGTTGTTCTCATTACTCTTGCTCTCCTTGTGATCTTCGTTCTTAGACAGATTCTCCTTGTGATCTTCGTTCTTCGACTCTTTTTCCTTTTCATTATCTTCACTGTCTTTATGATCTACGTGTTCCGAGGTAGTCGCATGTGAATTTTTGTTTTTCATTTCATTACTCTTACTTTCACTGCTATCTTTAGACAGATCCCCCCTCTCATTACCATTATCTTTCCGATCGCTTTTCTTATGATTGTTATTCTTAGATCCGGCTTCTCCCACACCATCAGTTTGACTTTCTCGGTTTTTCTGATCATTATCGTCATTTTCGTTCTCTGATTCGAAATAACCATGTGATTTTTCTGTAGGATGCTTCTCCTGTTTGTTATGTGTATGTTCATCGTGTGTACTAACTTTTGAATTATATTCATGGTTCTGTTTTGCATCATCATTACTGTCCTCAGAATCATCAGAATCACGATCGTCAGTGTGGCCATTGCTGTCGTTGTTATCTGCTTTCGATCTTTGATTCTTATTTGACTCGTGTTTCATTCGGTTATCCACATTCGATTTTATATCTTCTATTTTACCGTTAGATGATTTCATCTTTTTTTGGTGATGTTTAGCATTCTTATGATCATGGTTTACCTCTAAAGGTCCTCCTTGCTTCTGATTTCTGGGTTCAGTGTTCTCACTATCTTCTTTTACAAATTCTTGTTTACCTTTCCTCTCTTTACTTTCTTTCTGTTGGCTATCCTTTACATCAGAATTATATTTAGTTTCTTTTTCTACATGATGTTCATTGTATTTTCTCTCCCCTTGGATATGTTCCGTATTCTTTCTTTCCGAATTGTCATAATTTTTTCTATGTTCTTTATGTAAATGACCTTCTCTTTCTTTCTTGTAATGTCTTTGCTCATTACCAGCTTTATTGTGATCTTTGTGCTCTTCTGATGATTGATTTTCATCTGTAATGCTATCTGATTCATCATCTTTGTTTTTGAAATTGCTGTTCTTTTTCGAATCCTCTTCCGAATCATTGTCATTGATCTCGTCATTGTCTAGCTCGTGTTTACTCGTTTTACCGTTACCCTTCTTGCTTATACTTTCTTTAATTTTATTCTTTTCAATTTTATTTTCTTCATCGCTGGAAATTTTCTCCTTGCTAGCAATTTTCTCCTTGCTATCATGTTCATCATCATCTTTGTCATGTTCATGGTGAACGTGAATTTTACTCTTAGGTTCACTTCTGTCGGCCTCTTCGTTATGTATTGTATTCCTTTCGCCTTCTTTATCTTCACTGTTGTCATTGTCTTCAATTTTATCCATTTTCTCTTTTTCTCTACTATTGGGCTTCTTGTTTTTGAAAACATCTTCTGACTTTTTCTCTTTCTTTGAAGATTCATAATTCTCTCCTTTTGAGGGATTATAATCCTTTGCCTTTTTCTTCGAAGATTTAAAGTTCTTATCTTCATCATTGTCTCTGAAATCAGATCTGTCATCAGATCTGTCTTCATGGTTGTGATTATGGTTTTGTTCATACACCCTATGAGCATAGTTCTGAGACATAATATTTTCGTTGTCCGAGTCATCACCGCTTCCAGAGTACTCTTGGTATTCATTTTCATTTTGTCGATAGTTATCCTTATGTTGGTTTTTGATGGTCGTCCTTTCTTGGTGTTCCTTTATTGTTTTCTTTTGATGATGATGGTGGTGGTGATGATGTTCATTTATTTTATTACCACTCATTTCATTATCTGTGGTTTTCATTTCGTTCATGTCAGGGTCACTATTCATCTCTTGTTTCTCTTTTTTGTAATGGTCTGTAATTTTTTCATTGTGCTCTTGAGCATTGTCCTCATGAATATTGTGATGATGATGGTGGTGATGATGATGTTGTTCTTTTTCGTCTTTCTTATCATGTTTTGTATTATCATCATTTTGGTCTTGAACATTGTCGTCATGATGATGGTGGTGATGATGATATTCATTAGTTTGGGCTTGTATATCATCCTCATCATGATCATGGTTGTGGTTATAATCAACCACTCTACCCTTTTCTTTCTTTCGATGGTTTATATTCTTTCTATTTTCCATCTCATCATCATTCATATTATCATCTCTTCCCTCGTTACTGTCCTTTTCATGCTCAATTTTACTTCTTTCCTCCTCGTTCTCTCCACTGCCAAAGTGACCATCTTCATCATTCATTTCTTCATCATAATAGTCTTCCTTTTCTTCACCTCTGGTTTTATGTTCTTTTGGGCTTTCTTCATCGTCATCTTCACTTCCATCCTGCATTTCGTTGTTTCTCATTTTCGACTCGCTAGATAAGCTTTCTCTCCCAGTTTGGTGATGTTTCTTGTAGTCCGTCTTTTCCTGAGACGTTTCGTGGGAGTCTTCATGTCGATTTTTGTTCTTTGTAAATGTTCCCTCGCTCCCATCTTCATCTTTATTCATATCTTTATCCTGATCCTCTTTTCTTTGTTCATGCTCAAAATCCTCATTCTCAGAACTTTCGTTTTCATGGTCAACCTTATCATGTTTTCTAGGAAAATTCTCTCCATTCGCATTCTCGTCATCATCATTATCTTTATCACCAAATTCCATGATATCTTCACTATTCATAGATTTTTCTTCATGCTTATGATTAACTTCATCCAGATGATGGTGTTTGGGTGGTCTGCTTTTCTTTCTTCTGTGTGTTCCCGACTGTTCCTCTTCATCATCATTGCCTTCACTGTTGCCACCACTTTTATGACGTTCTTGCTTTCTATGTTTCTTCTTTAATGGAGCATCGCGACCTCTGTCATCTTCAGGACTTTCAAAAGAATCCATTTTGTCCTGCCTGTTGTGTTTTCGTTTCCTAATGCTATGCCTACTTGAAATGTCACTATCCTTATCTTCATTGTCATACTTCATGTCTGAGTTCATTTTAACATGTTTGTGATGGCCTCTATGCCTATGTGACTTGCTTTGTTCTTCGATAGTATCGTCTCTCTCATTAGAATCGTGATTAGTACCATGTTCCATGTTCCGATGATGATACATTCTGTTAATCTTTTCATGTTCCATATTCATCTTTCTGTGATGGTGTCTGTGATGCTCGCCTTCTCTGTGCTTATATGAATTGTCATTTTCATTATCTTGGTTGCTGTCCTCTCTTTCTTCAGAATTCTGGTGTCTATGAGTTTTAACATGTCTTCTCTTGTGATCAGATTCCTGACTCGAGCTCTGACTGTCACTCTCCCTCACTCCCGGATTATACGTCGATTTATGAACGTGATGATGGTGGTGATGATGGTGATGCAATGGTATTGTAGAACCATCGTGTAAGTGGTGTTTCTGTGGTAGTTGTGTTTCGTGTTCTTGGTTGTAACTCGTATCGTCTTCAGCGGGGTCATCGTGGTGGTGGTGGTGATGATGATGATGCCTTCTTTCACTTAATGATGGTTTTTTATCCACATCAGAATCTACAACTCTACTTGCCTCACCAAACGATCCTAAAAGACGTAAAGAAGTTAATAAATATATGACATCATCTATATTAACATCAAATATTAAACAACAAACGTCAAACAGCAAACGTGTGAAGCCGTACTTGCACTACAGTCCTATGACAGGCTTTGGTCTAATTAAGCTAATTATATAACCCTGATTGACTGAACTAGTCGGCCAATCAGTAAAGCGAAAACCTGGCCAATGCGAGGCCTACCTTGTAATGTAAACACGGCATAAAAGACATCCCTTACTCCAGTTATGCATAGAGCTCATACCTCGTCTCTCAAGCAAAGCTATCTCCAGATGCACTGGCACTCTTTTCCCCTCTCCAGATTCACAATCACCATCATCTGGGCAAATAACTCCATAACATTTATCTCTCATGATAAAAGCAAGAGAACAATCTGCTCTCTGACAACAGTGCTGATTGCATTCTCTGCTACTGCTTACATCCGTGGCCAGTTTATGAAATTTTGAAACACCTCGTCCACCTTCGAGAAAGATATGGTGTGGGACGACTCTTCTATGACGGCAAAAGCCGTGATGCTTTGGGTGGTGAGAGAAATCTGATTGGATATCTACGAGGAGGAAAAATATATTAGACAGGATCCCTGTGTGTGTTTATTCTATAGGGACTGCATTTTGGACATATATGTCGCGTATGATTGTGTTAAGCGAACTTTTTTCGTTACACGTTTCTCATCAATGCGGGAACTTTGCAGCTTCGATCATTGGTTCATAAGTGTTAGAAATAATATATTATCTATGAAAGACTTTGATGGGTGAGCCTATGTATTAAATTAGGGTCAGCTAAGACAGAGTTGAAAATCGCTAAGACTAAACTGAAGTCATCCCGTTGGATAAATTGCCAGGCCGCAAAATGATTTCCGACCAGGCTCATGCAAACATACTGTACAATTGCAATTTGAGTTCAGCTCTTAGTTACTTAATTCCGGCCTCATGTGAACGGATATGAAAATATGATTACAAGAAACAATCTGGAGTAGATATTGAATCACTATTGACTTTTGCTACCCTACCCTCTGTGTCGTCCACACTCCGTTTTGAGATCTCATGTCGTTTTTCCCTCAGTCCATTCAGAATGCTTCTACAGAGATCGTGATGTGAACATGAGATACCATAACACCTAGTCTTCCGCAGTAAGGCCAAGTCACAGTTCCTTCTCGAACAACATAAATTGATACAGGATCTTATATTCCTTGTTCGACCAAGCTTCATGACTTTGAATGATTTTCTGAGGTGGTCTCTCAGAGTTGATTTCGTGCATTGTGCTTCTTCGCTGATCACTGGATCATGCAGGAACGCTAAAGAGAAGTGAAGATTTCACGGGTAGAGGTTTTTGAAAGTGTTGATGGTATAGTGGTTAGTGTATATGGTCTTTTCATCTCTGAGGTTTGACTCCTGCAATATACACTTGTCAGCTTATGTTATACCTCACTTTACTGCTTCGGTAGATTTTAAAGATATGAACAAGTTTTTGTTGGTAGGGGATGCAACTACCTGAAACATATAAGGAGAATTGCGACGTTTCGAGCGATGGTGCTTCGTTCAGACAAGGGCCTTCGCTCGAAACGTCGAAATTCTCCTTATATTTTTCAGGTAGTTGTATTCCTAGCAACGAAAGCTTGTTCATATTATTGGCACTACCTTCACTGACAGTTGAAGATTTTAAAGATAGCATAGTGTAAATCTTAAGTCATGTATTGTTGCACACTGCAGCAATAGCCTGGAAAGGTTCGCTGGAGTCAGCCACTAAAGAGATTTGGTGTGTTGTAGGCATAGTGATTGGCGCATGTGTCTGTCAACTCTGTGACTAGCATTCCTGCTATGTGCACTTGTTTGATTATAATTTCACCTCAGTTGTTCAGTATGGGAAGAGCACTTTCAAGTTTTCTCCAAGTACACAGGTTTCTTCATGCGAATATGCTATATACCATATAGTGCAACCCAACACTATATTATCAACATAAAGTTGATTGTAGTCAGACTCGATCCTGCATATTCAATAGACTTATATATGGTCTAGCCATTGAGCTATCGATTGAAGAAAGTACAAACGGTACATTGTCTGCCATCTCGACTCGAACTCACGATAGAAACTCACTCTGACAACTGAGTCACCGAAACCCCAAATTAAGTGAATGGTTTAGGAAACTTTACACGAGGATGGACGAATTCAGAACACTAAACAAATTTCTCTTATCACGCTTATTCACACGGGAATTGATACGCTCATCTGTACTCAAATTCGTCCAATTTCATGCGTCCCTTGTGAACGCAATGAGAGAGCAAGATTGTGCAAATTTAAATATGATTCCGAATTCATCCAGTTCCGTGTGAAAGAGGAGTTTATAGAATTTGTGGAGTTGTGTACTTTTACTTTCATACCATCCACTCACCTAATAAAAGGAATACAACACAGTATAGTATAGAACGACATCTTAACACTCCAGAAGACTCCGACACATATCTTCCTGGCTGGCTGGCCAGCATAAGTTATATATTTACATAAACATATAGTCGAGAATACTGTAAACCAATAAACCAAAGGCCAAGATACAATGCCCTTCTTCCATACTCCATTATGGAGGCTGATAACTACACAGTAACTCAGCCATTATGATAATTCAAAGCCATTTTATTTTGTCTAAATTTCTATACAAGCTTTTGGAGCTTAAAAGAAACGATTTTGAGATTAGGTCATCGCTGCTGTTACAGTTACCGGTACTGTGTAACTATAATCCTTGTGCGGAAAGTACATAGCAAAATGCAGCGCTTATGTTGCGGTGGAATATAAGAATACTAAGCGAGAAATGTTTAAACATTTATAGGATTTTAGTTGATGGATAAAGCCTTGTGGAACTCGAATATTTTGTTTCAAGAAAACAGTTTAGGAGCTGGATTTGCAAGCTGTTTATTTAGTACCTGTTGTGTATTGTCAAAACGTTTTACACTTTCGCGCGTACCAAGTCAAGTGTTACGATTGTACTGTATAATTTTAGAGGCGATAAAATGAAAGACATAGCTTGAGGAACGTTTAAGTTTGCTCTGATTTGAAGAGCAATTAAGTAGAAAAGGCAGAGGTAGTCTAAAATTATGCATTTGCTTGGGTCTGCGGGAAACTAACTTGAAATCTAGCTAGAGAACTAGGACGGTTGTTAAACTGTTATATTGTTTGGTGTGGGCACTGGAGCGTTTCACCACTTGCAAGCTGCTATATACAATTTGGGATTGTGATCATAACTGCAACAACATACTGCTCTCCCCAGAGGTCCAGTATGGGGCAGTATGGGGGTTGTTTCTCCAGTGTTATCTTAGTACCACTGTAGTATAGACACCTGGAGTGTTTGGTCAAACTTGAAGCACTTTTCCCGCATGCAACTGAGGCGAATTCAGACCAGAAAACTGGATTCGAAGCCCGGTTACAGGTTTGAAAGGCGCATTCACCAACCAGTGTGCCACTAACCCTGGCTACGAGAGGTTGTGTGCCACTGAGTGAATTAACTGCCCTATTGACTAAAGGACAAGATTCGGAAGACATTTGTAGAATTAAATCTTTAAGCTTTATATCAGAATTAAGAACATTTTTTATTGAAGAAGATATGTTTATGTACTATATATAATATTTTATTTACAAGATTATTTTTTTCTAGTTCAGAATTGAGGGTCTTCCAGGGGGAGGGGGTTAGGGCGGAGGCACTTAGAATTATATCAACCAGTTATGACAGTTCTCAGTTATATAGATGAGATTCATACTAATTTCACATAAATTATAGTTCATATATATAGTCTATATTTATTTTTTTAATGTTTTTATATCATATTGCGTCTATCTATACAAGCTAGGTATATAGTTTGTTTTTTTTTATCAAGGAATTCCTGCTCCTGACGGCGTTCGTTAGTGCAGTAATACTCAAACCTCATAACCAAGCCCTAAGTTTATTAAACACTATTTTGTCTCCAATTGGCGAAGCTTCCACTTGAAAAAATAGTGAAATTCATACAATGGAATTTGCAATGGACCATTTGCATTATAGACTAAATTTTGATCTAAACAAGTCTAGACAAAAATTTCATCACAGAAGAGCATCACAAAATTAGTAATATTCCAAAGTTTCGTTGCGAAATGTTGTAAAATGCGGATAATATAGCCTTGCGAAGTTTGCCGTTTTTCAGTCATTTTGTATTACACACGGGAAATTGACAGCCCCAAGAGGGTATTGGGCTGTCAATTTCCCCCGCGTAATACAAAATGACTGAAAAACGGCAAACTTCGCAAGGCAGTGTTCATCCAATCGGAGAAACATGTTATCCTAAATGGACTCGATTTATTAGGCGAGTGAGTAAATTGCAAATTTTAATAATGAAAATTTTTAAAATGGTGCATGTTTTCTAAATCTGCTAAGAAAAGCTTCGTAACTGCTTAAAGACATCTCTCCTCCCGATCTCCTTTAAGAAACGCCAGCAACTCTGTATATCTGCTTTTAAGAGCATCGTGGTAATATAGATTTTATCCGCTCACTCGTATGTTTATATCCGTTGTCACGAAATTAACGTTTTTAGATAACTAACATGCCCAGTTACCACTGTTCTTATGATGAAAATGCTGCTTTCAGAATTTAATATAACTACGAATTACCTCAACATTCACATATTCAATTTTGCGCAAAACTAAATGCTGTCCTTTAATTCATTTAGTTATTTCATGAGAAATTTTTAAATGGATTTAGATTTTTCCGTGCATGTACCGTATACGCACGTGTGAACAGCGCTTAACTGCAAAACAGCCTCAAATATAGAATGGATTGAATGGAACAAAGATAACCAAGCATTTAAATTATATGTGTGAGTGAAGGACCATTCTCCAATTAACCAAAATTTTGATCTCAACAAGTCTAGACAAAATTCCACCATAGCATGAAAGAGCATCACAAAATTAGTGATATTCCAAAGTTTCGTTGCGAAATGTTGTAAAATGCGGATAATATAGCCTTGCGAAGTTTGTAATTTCAGTCATTTTAGATTACAAACGGGAAATGGTTACCACTTTTCCAAAATTTTGATCTTAACTAGCCTAAACAAAATTACATCACAGCTTGAAAGAGCATCACAAAATTAGTAATATTCCAAAGTTTCGTTGCGAAATGTTGTACTATGCAGATAATATAGCCTTGCGAAGTTTGTAATTTTCAGTCATTTTGTATTACGCACAGAAGTGGTAACCATTTCCCGTTTGTAATCTAGGCTATATTATCCGCATTTTACAACGTTTTGCAACGAAACGTTGGAATATTACTAATTTTGTGATGCTCTTTCAAGCTGTGATGAAATTTTTGTCTAGAATTGTTAAGTTCAAAATTTTGATTAATTGGAGAATGGTCCATTGGACTGCAACGAACATAAACACGCTGATGAGATCTATCATAATACAAAACAACGGTATCTCCAAAAAGGAACATTCTAATATATTAATAAAAATTTCCTCTTCGGAGTTACCGTTGTTTTTTTTGGAAAAATACTCAGTCATTCCCGAAATAAATTTTAGGTCTATCACATTGACATATATATATATACCTGAACTGCTTGCTCGGTCTCGAAAGGCGTGGTCGCAATATGCCGGAAATTTGAGAGTGATTGCTCGTGGAGTCGACCGCTGACCAGTACTCAAGAGTTGAAACTCTTATATTCGTCAGCTTCAATTTGTCACGCAAGCCTTCAGTAAAAAATATTACAGCAAGCAGTCCAGGTATATATAGATATGTCAATGGTCTATCACAAGTGATAAGACATTCTAGCAAACAGTGAAGATTTCCTTGATAAGTTTTTCCATTGGTTTTGTTTCGGAGCCAGATTGAAAGAACATACGTTCAATCAACGAAGTCTTGATTTTACTGAGTTGTGGTATGAGAAGAAGTAATTTGCCAAATCTGACATATTCCTCTGGCCGTTGTTGACGGATGTGTTCGCCTAGCATGCATTGTGCTTGATCTTGCAGTTGCTCAACATGCCATGGGTCGTGAAGACCTTTCAATTCTGAAATAGTGAGAATTAGGAAGTCATTTAATTTTTGCTAAAATAATTGCTATACTGGATAGCTCTATCAGTTCTAAACTGTTCTCCCTGGAGGTCCAGTAAGAGTCATCTCTTATAGATCTAGTGTCACTGTAGGAGGAAACCTAAACTAAACTAAGTTGATTTATACTGGATGGCCTCTATCAGTTCTAAACTGTTCTCCCTAGAGGTCCAGTAAGGATCATCTCCTATTGATCTCGTGTTACTGTAGGAGGAAACCTAAACTAAACTAACTTTATTCATACTGGATAGTTCTATCAGTTTTGAACTGTTCTCCCTAGAGGTCCATTTAGAGTCCTCTCTTATTGATCCAGTGTCACTGTAGGAGGAAACCTAAACTAAACTAACTTTATTCATACTGGATAGTTCTATCAGTTTTGAACTGTTCTCCCTAGAGGTCCATTTAGAGTCCTCTCTTATTGATCCAGTGTCACTGTAGGAGGAAACCTAAACTAAACTAACTTTATTCATACTGGATAGTTCTATCAGTTTTGAACTGTTCTCCCTAGAGGTCCATTTAGAGTCCTCTCTTATTGATCCAGTGTCACTGTAGGAGGAAACCTAAACTAAACTAACTTTATTCATACTGGATAGTTCTATCAGTTTTGAACTGTTCTCCCTAGAGGTCCATTTAGAGTCCTCTCTTATTGATCCAGTGTCACTGTAGGAGGAAACCTAAACTAAACTAACTTTATTCATACTGGATAGTTCTATCAGTTTTGAACTGTTCTCCCTAGAGGTCCATTTAGAGTCCTCTCTTATTGATCCAGTGTCACTGTAGGAGGAAACCTAAACTAAACTAACTTTATTTATACTGGATAGTTCTATCAGTTCTAAACTGTTCTCCCTAGAGATCCAGTAAAGGTCATCCCCAATTGGTTCAGTGTTACTGTAGGAGGAAACCTAAACTAAACTAACTCTCAAACTGGAAACATTCTCACATACGATATTCAAGAACCAAAGCCTAGTCACAGAGGTGAAAGAGACGAATCACTGTGTCCACACATGAGTAACTAACGGCGAAACAAACCTGGTTTGAAGAATGCAATTGCTTTAGCACAAGATAGCTCAGTAGCATCAGGCACAGCCACTCGAAGCTTCGCGACAATATTCTGTAAATCATGGATCTCCATGAGATATTTCCCATTACCAGAAGCACTAGTTTGACATCCCACTGAAGTCATCCACGCATCTATATCCACCGGGAGATTCCATTGTAATAAACCTGAACATAGGAAACATGAGATTTAGAAAACTCTTGGTCTTACAGTTGATAAGAACGTCGGGAAGCTGGGGTGCCAGATGCAGTTAGCAGGCTGTGCTTGCATCTGGGTTAAATTGCTACTGTATGT